CGATGAGACATCTCTGAATGTTCTTAAGGGGCAATAGAGATTTAAGTGTAATCAAGCAGAAACTATGAGGTAACCCTAACCATAAAATATTTGCATAACAATAATGCTAAATCAACCCTAACATTGCCACTAAACTGAATTGATAAATCTAAATACAAACAATAAAAGGAACAATATACAAAACGTGTTCCTTATCCCCAAAACTTAAAACCAAAACTAAACCTAAGCTAAACTTATTATTAGTATTACGAGCCGACCCGCGGCATACTATTTAGTTGTTTTATTTTCTACTTTTCAGTTATTCATAATTGTGAATTCGACAGTACCAATGCTGCCACTGAAAATATTTGCTTTAAAACACTATCAGTAGGTTGTTCAGGACGATATTACCCCCACCCTCCTTTCCCCCAACCCTTACCCGACACCCCCCCCCCCTCCGTGAAAGCAGCCTCCTCTTAGTTACCTCCCCTAAGTGTAAAATCGTTTCAAACTAAATTATCTGTCCCTAATAGCCGTCACTAAACCCGGCTTTACGATTGTAAACATTTAGTTTGACCAAAGCTCACCAGACCATGTAGGGGTGGGCTGGTAGGGAGCGCGCTTACGGCTTGGTGTTTTCTAGCGTCTTCAAGAAGAGAATTATAATATAGATGATTTAGTTTTTATTTCTAGATCGTAAGCTACTTATCATACTTTAAAGGAAATAATTTAATCGTTTCGCGCTTGACTTGATTTCGAAGGAAGATAAGCAAATTAACTACTGTTTTTGGAAGCATCAATGACGACTTTCTGGTTCAATGTTTTTATACTCAATAATTACAAATGCTCTTCTCACCCCCCTCTCCACATGGAGAAAAAGGTGTCTGGAAAAAAAAAACTATCAAAAAGTAGGAAACGGGACGCGACTATAAATGTAACGTCTACTTTTAGACTGTGTGATCAACAAATGCCACCAGTGTTTCTTTCTGGGAGTTGGGGGGTAAAGGGGGGACACCGGTAAAAATATATGATTCCTATATAAATAAATTTCGTTTGGTGGGGGGGGGGGGACACCGGGACCTTGTTAATAAGTTGTATAATCGTCCAGATAATTGTTAATTTTAATTCATTCGATATAAAATCAAAAGAATTGATATTTGTAATTGTCTTTATTGCCATTCCATTTATTTTGTCTCTATTTTAAACCGTCGTTGCTGTCATGAGACTTTTCATATACTGAAAAAGAAAGACGCGGATATTCAAACACACTCTTCCTAGCTTGGACAAAACAAACATAACTTATGCTAACTTACTGATATGTGTCGTATTTTTCTTTATGATGTTATATTTTCCTTATTCGTTCTTATCTTTGTCTTTAGAAACAACTAAACAATACCTAGTTAATGAAATATTTTATTACTTCGCTTTGATTTGCATTGACGTCAATCATGTTTTAAATTTCATCTTATATTTCCTACTGATCAAGTAGTTCAGGGAGAGATTTCTAAAGATCATACTGTGTAAACAGTAAACACTGCAAATAACAACGTCGTGTTACTTCAGACTGTGCGGTGTGTTGGTTATAAATTGGTAACAAAAATGTGTAAATGTGAGGAAAAGGTAACTTACCAGATGCAGTTGTCTATGTTTGTTTAAAACTACTGCATTTGTTGTGTTTCATGTATTGGCATTTGTCTGGAAGAATCTATAATTAATTTTTTTTCTCTACTTCTACGTTACGGAATTCAACAAAATAGACTGAATCATATAGGCCCATTAGTTTTATTTTCTTCACCATTAGATTCATATTTTATATTCTAAATATATTTTTTAAATTTTTATAAGCGAATGTTTTATTGTAAAATGTGGTAGTTGTATTACTATGATAGCAATAACAGAGCTTAGACCGATTTATTTCTAAAAATAGTAATCCATGCAACATCGATTAAAATCTTAGGATCTAAGCATTTTTAAGTTATATTTTATTGTAAAATGTGGTAGTTTTTACTTTATATTTTATCGATCATCACCCCCCCCCCCCCCCCCAACACACACACACACCTGAAGTAACCGTAGCAATTAATGTGCCTAAAGTAATCGCACAATGTGAAACCGTGTCATACAAAAGATAATAAAATGTATTGCTTGACGACAGGAAGTCCGAAACCATACTGTATCGAGCATAATTATAATTTCATTAATAAAACGTAAATTACCCTTTCTTACTTGACGGTCCATGTTGTAGGTGAGGCAAAAGTTACCTGTTTCAATGAGCTCGGCATATGTCAGTAATTCTTTACTTTCCCATAACGTGAGTCAGGTAAGTAAGTTGGGTGGATTCAGGCACGTCCTATTGAATCGAGCCCGGTATCCAATTTAGAAACTGCTGGTTAGCAATCTATCGCTTTTCAATTGAATGACACGATGCCATAATGATGCTGTCCCCTAAATACTCTCATAATCACAACTATAATACTTTTACTAATGCGTTACAGTTTATGACCCGGCAGTAAGAGCTGTGTAAGGCTTGAATTACAGCCGTGTAAGGCTGGGGTTACAGCCGTGTAGCGGTGGAATTACAGCCGTGTAATATCGGGGTTACACCCGGTAAGGCTGGGGTTACAGCCGTGTAATATCGGGGTTACAGCCGTATAAGGCTGGGATCACTGCCGTGTAAGGGTTACACCCGGTAAGGATGGGGTTACAGCCATGCAAGGCTATAGTTACAGACGTGTAATGGTTTTGAGTAAAACATAACTTAACAATTTTAACAGAATGTAAGTAAAGCCTCATTTAGTCTTAATTATGCAAGCAAAATTAATAGCACCACTTATTGTTTAGTTTCCTTGCGTTTAAAAATAAAGAATTTCAATCGTTGTTAAATGTGTATAATGTTATTTAGCACCTACATAATATTTCCCATTTATATCGAAGATATAAAGGGCAGATGAAGTAAACATGTTTAAATGGCTTCAGCATATGAATGGATTTAGTGGTCTGCACAATGCCCAATCGTATTCGTTTCCCTAACGTGAGTCAGGAAACATAGGATTCGAACTCGAGACTTTCAGGTTTACATGCGTTAGCTCTACCATCCGATAACGTCATCTTTAGATGTGTTTTACCGCAACTGATTTGTTTTAAAATGTCTACTCTGAAGAAACGAGTTTGATTTTCTCTCAACTAATTTGTTGAATAAAATATCAATGGTCGAAGTTTATTTATTCTTGTTTTTTGTCTTGAAAAAAAAATAGATGCACAGATTGATCACTCTAATTAAACGTAAGTTAAAGTGTCGAAATAGAAACTGCAGAAATTTTTAACATAGAAAGCTGGGAATGTTTTTTTATAATATTATATTTTAAAAAAAAGCATCTTATTTTGTGGTTCGGTGTTTAATTATCATTAATGTCAATACCGAAACATTAGACAAGAATTTAGCTTGAGAATTTCTTCTTTTTTCAAAATGTTAGAAGACGTTTTAGTCAACAATTACTTAAGTTGTCATAGTACTTTAGGACAATTTAGAACTTTAAATCAGAACAAATTTTTATATTTTAAGGGTTTTTAAGTAAAAAATATTTGATAAATAGGTTTGCAAAAACACATTGCTGCTTTTCATGTAAAAAACAGAAATAGTTAGACTTTTCATATTAAAAAAGATAAGGTTATTTAATAATTAATATAGAAGTATATATAAAACAAAGTGATTGGTTAGTTGAATGATACTGAGCCTCTATCGCGCCGAATTGAAATAGGTTCTAATAGACTAAAAGGGAAAAACACACACATTTTCATAATTTTGTCATTTTATTTCTAATAATACATACACAAACTCACCTAGGAATAAGTTGATCACATATAAAATAAAAACCTACAAAGCTTAAAATTATATAAAACACACATCTAACAGAAATGAATAGATAGAAATAATGTCAACTTGTTCATTTATAAAAAAAAATCAGTAATATTTTTAAAAAGACGTTTTCATGGTACTGTTATCAATAAAAGTTATTATCAGCCGCACCAGCAATTTGTTTACGCAAATGATTTCGCGTTATTAGGGGGAAATGATGCTGATAACATACATGTGTTTATTGATCTAGAAGCAGCATCTCGGTATGTACGACTGGAAGTAAACAGACAAAAAAAACTATAGTGGCATACAATGTATTTAAAATTGAAGAGAGCGATGGTTAGCTCATCTTGAAAAGATGCCGAACACATTAAGATTGAAAGTGATATAAGCTATAACAAAATCCCAAACGGGACAGACTAAAAGCCATGCCTTGGCTGAGGTGAATTGATGACAAGGAAGACCTACGATAGCTCAAAGTCTCTACGTTAAAGAAGTGACGCCGGACTTCCTACTGATATATATATATATATATATGTAAAGCAGGCCAAAGCTCTCTGAGGCCGGTAGAGACACAGTCATGAATAATATCAGTCAAATAATCGTAAAAAGCATATATTGAAATTCAATGAACACTTGCCAAATGTAATAATATTTCATTACAAAAATAAAAAGAACAAATGCATATATATATATATATATATATATATATATATTATATATATATATATATATATATATATATATATATATATATATATATTCATGCCATATCATAGTGCTAATCTAATTGTATCTTACATAATAAAGGATGATTTTTTTAAATTTTTAATTTCAGTGCATAAAAAGCATTTAAAAGCAACTTATTTTAATTTATTTTTTATTTGCTTTGTTAATAGGGCCTACTTTTTAGCAATTATGAGTTTTTAAAATTAAAAGAGTGAGTCGATAATTAAAAAAATAATTAGTAGCTTCCTTTTTGCAGTTTGTAAGTTCTGAAAGAAATCGAGATCTTATGCTAAACAAAATTATTTGATTTAAAAACAACTTTAAAAATTCGGAACTACCATTTTCGACTCTCATTTTTTTCGACTCTCAACAGAATCGTACAATAATTCAGCTGTTGAACGGTTGCCTTCTGTATGGTCAAATACAACATGTGTAGCTGTAGATATGTAAACATTCCATGTTGTTGTCGTCTTCTCAGTTGACTTGCTACACTTATAACATCGACATTTTTCAATTGAGGGCTCTGTGTGGATCACAGCTCCACTTCCTGTTAAATTCTGTTTCACGATGTTTAAACAGTGACTTATACAACTCTTCAGGTCTATCTCCACTAACAAAACCAACACGAAGTCTTACAACAAGAGCGCCAGATGTTTTAATGATGATTCAACTGTTGTGGCATCATCATTTATCCCAGCTTTACACAGATGTGACTTTGGATCTTCTAGAAATTTCTGCCAGGGGAGGAAACCACAATGGCCTTGTGGTTTCTTGCAATTTTTCCATTCGTCATCAATCGACAGCTCGTTTAGTTCTTGGATTTCAGGGTTCTCTAAAAGAAGAATTTCAGTTATGTAATAAAATGGCAGGTAGGGATAAATGCACTGCTGTCATGTATGTTCTTTATCATTTGTCTTTGTTTTATTTTTATGTACAGATTATTAATCTTAAAGCTTAATTGTTCTGTGTTTTAAACAGTTTTACTATTGTTTTTAAAGACAAACAATACACTTTCCTTACTATATTTTGGTTCAATTTGACAAAATTTTCTGTTTCTTGTAGTTGAGCATTTTGCTGCAAAGTTATTAACAAACAAACACATTATTTAGCAGTAATAGAACTACAGTAATATTCTTTTCTCCAATATGTATTTTTTATTTAAAAAAGCAGATTGAAAAAGATAAGTCATAATAAGCTATTAAGTTATTAAATTCAAGAAGTCTACAATGTATAAGAGTGTTAAAGTGAAAAGAATGAACATCATTTATTTATTTTATGTAGCTTCTAGAAAAAAAGTCATCAAAAATTAAGTTACAATTTAAGAAGCATAATTTTACAACACACATTAGGGAAAGTAAAGGCGGTTGGGCACAGTGCTGACCACACTATCTCGTTATATGGTGATGTGAAAACTTACGTAAAATATCTAATGTTGCATATAATTTCTTCTAAACAGACACTTTTTTTTTTCAATGCCAATATTATTAGAGTATTTTGTAAACAAAACATATTTACCGTGAATGTATGTCTTACAATCTATCTTACCTGCTTGATCAGGATCAATTGTATTGTCTATATCAGTATACATATCGGAGCAATCCATTTTTTGTCTATTAGATGATGATCTATATATATAATTCTCTTCTGGGAGCCGTTAGAAAACAAGCTGCAAGCGCCTCCGTGCAGTCCCCTCTCTTTCTCTCTATCACTATCACTAAATAATAAATAAATAATAAAATAAATGCTGCTCCGTAAAATAGATGTTAATCAAGGAGCAAGCACCGAACGTGAAAGCCATAATTACCAAAAGCTATATGACAACAACCAAATGTTTAAAAACACAAAGTATCTAATTTAGACGCTAGTGGAGAAGCCAAGGTCAGTTTGCGACACATTCTACACACATATCGCAACATCAAGCATTAATCATAAATGTTAACATATCTCATGCATGATTCGAGAATATTGTAAAGTCACCATTGGTGGAATATTGCAGGCTAGTTAAAATCAACATGCCAAAGATGAAGAAAGTAGTTGTAGACTAGCTTATAATTTTCCTGTCCAATTTTACGATGCTCATACTGAATGTATATTTTCTTTTTAAACTTTCATTTGCTGTTGTCTTTAGATTTCGTTTATAAACCTAATTTAGGGGTTATTTGTCGCGAAGAGGGGTATATAAAAATAGTCAAAAATTTTGTAACTGGCTTAAAGAAAAGAATTTTTTTTATATTAACACTTATTTTGTCCGTATGTTTTTATATCTATTACTATTTTTTTTACCAGTGCCTCACCTTATGAACGGGTTTCCACATGAATCAGAATATGAAAATCCATTTAAAAAATGGCACTTAACCCACCTAGTCTAAACTTTGTTTATTCCCGTTTCTATTTAAGTGCGGGGAAGTGTAAAAATGTGCTATTTTTAGTCTCTATGGTATAACATGATAATTCTTTAGTATTGCAATACAACGCTATGAACTGCACAAATTATGTAATCCCTATTTACTAAAAATGTTGTTACGTATTTTGTATCTTTCAAGTTTTAATAAATATCAGGCTACACATAAAATGTTCACTTGAAAACTCATTTTCTTCGAAGCACAACAAACTTATGTCGCACTACATAGCGTATTAATAATCACCGTAGTGGGTAAATCAGTCTGAAGAATTAGTTTTCACTACATTTAGTACTTTAAAACATAAATACTATTCTATTACATTCTAATACATTCTAATTTTACAGCAATACCATGGCAACATCTAACATTGGATAGGAAATTTTCGTTAACTAGAAAGTTATAAAATCTTATGCTTAAGTGGGTCATAAAAATCTGAAAATATACTTATATCGACATAAGTTAAAAGCATGTATAAAACATTTTAATAAAACATTATTTCCTACAAAATATTTCTACTGATGCATAGAAAACCTTTACACATACATATATTAATTAACCTGCCGAAACATGCCAATACATTAACAGTAAAGTTGGTTGTTTGTATACTCCTCATTCATGGGCGCATAACAACCTTGTTACCATAGAGCATAGGTAAATCAATGACGTAAAAGGTAAGTTTCAAATACACATATACAAACACACACACACACACATATATATATATATATATATATATATATATATATATATATATATATATATATATGTATATACCCATAAATATATATATATATATATATATATATATATATATATATATATATATATATATATATATATATATATATATATATTTATATATATATATATATATACCCATATATATATATATATATATATATATATATATATATATATATATATATATATAATATTAAATTCTACGGCAGAACAAAAATTTAAGCTAATGCATACCATGCGTTGTATCTACAGACATATCGATATTTGTAGCATTCCCCCAATCAGGTAAAGCTGCTTGCTCAAAATGGGAATCTCCGTTCCATATGTAATGATGATGTGTTCTGCACCATCGCTATCTGCCTTTACTTCCCCTTTTGTTTTTGTCGTGTAAATAACATCGAGTAGTAAAAAAATAAATATTTTTTCGAATGTGTGATCTATCAACATAGCAAAGAAATTTTGTTTTACATTGGGGTATTTTAAAAAATTATTTTTTAAAATGGATTGCGTGACCTTAATCAACGCTCCAAATTAAAATTCAGGAGGCTCCTTAATTTACGGTCTCTGTTATTTTACAAAGAATTTTTTCCGACAAAAAAACTTGTTTTTATTAAAAGAAAAAGAAAACTCGGCGGCCACTATGGGTCAAAGAAAAGTAAGTTTAATACAGTTCAAAGCAATTTTTGGGGCCTTTAATATGTCTCTTCCCCCCCCCCCCCCCCCCTCACAAACAGACACACTACTCACTGAATTGTGGATTATAACGATTAGTAGATACGTCCCTGGTGAAACTTTGACTTTTTTTTATAATAGTATCTAAGCTTAATTTTCCTTATCCATATTTTCAAATATTACGTTAATAAATTCCCAATTTCCGAAAATACTGTTTTTTTTTAGAAACGAATGCAATGGCTTACACGTAGAATTCCACCCCCCCCCCCTCCCCCGAAAGAGAGTCTACCGCCCCTGAACGAAATGGAATTTATATAGAAAATATATACTTTTAACAGTGTCCCACCCCTAAATTTCAAGTGCCCCCCTCCCACCCGGAGAAAAAAGTCTGGAAGAAACACTGGTTAAAAAGCGCCCCGACCTTATCAAATAAGTGAGGTGGGGGGCGCATTTTTACCAACGCGAATACTTATATATATATATATATATATATATATATATATATATATATATATATATATATATATATATATGTCTAATTTGAAGATGGGGCGCAAAATTGATAGTTCGTCTTGGGCACCTAAATATATCGATGCGCCTTCTATAACAGTTAATGAATTCTTATCAAATTTATAAATTATTAGGTACTTTTTAATAATTGCGATTTCACATTTTTGCGCCCCCCTACGGACAGCGCCCTAGGCGACCGCCTAGTTCGCCTTATAGGTAGCGCCGGCCCTGCCCGGGGCGGACTATCAATTTTACGCACTCCTATCTTTCATATAGAATAGTGAGGTTAATCGTGCAGGTAAAAAAAATGTCCCCCACTTCCAGTTGAAAAATGCTGATGGCACTTTTTACATTTCAATATTCCGTAACAGTTTTGTTGGCGTCAGAAACAGTTACATTAGTGTGTAAAGCATTGTAGCCATTTATTTTCTACAACTGTGTATAATTCAACATATCAACATAAAATGAGCATGTTAATTGCCTATGAACCAATTTTGCCACCACACAACCCTCTTGTAGCTACGCCTTTGTTTAAATATTACGTTCATAAATTCCGGCTTTTCGAAAAAAAAAAAATTTTCTGAAAAGCATATAATATACGTACGTATTTTGCTATCTTAAAATGGCATCAACGTAGTATTTATAAATAGAAAGAGAAATAGATTGCTCAAAAAAAGTTCTGGGGTGGGAAAGATGGTGGCAATTGTTGAAAATACTCTGGCTTATTTCAATGGAGGTTACATTTAAATTTAAATTACGAAACATCCATAGTCTATACTGCCCAGCAAGTTTGAATATTTTTTTAAACGGAGTGGCTTTGATGACGACAAAAAAAAAACAAAAACAAAAAAGATTGTCTTCTATTTATACTAATAGACAAAACATTTGGGGTAAATCTATATCCAATACTATATATCGGAAAATTCCAAACACATTTTATGCTTACATAAGAAGAATTAAAAGCAATACTTGAAATCAACATAGCAACAGCTAGCTTCTAAATGAAGTTTACAGTTATCAAAATAGACTTCTAGTGAGAAAAAAACTTGTAAAATATATGTGTACATTTTGGTTTTGAAAATCATTTAACTTTAACATCGAGGTACGTGTTTGACATACTTGTTTAATCTTGCAGGATTTTTTTTACCGACGCGACTTTACGATTTATTGCATTCTAATATTTTTGTCATGCATAAAAAATAATAGTAGTAGGTTGAAATAATATTAGTTATTTATGTACACTAAGATTATATAAGGGGTCATCCATAAATGACGTCACACTCGTAGGGGGGAGGGGGGGTCCGTAATTTTGTGACGATTGTGGATGGAGGGGGAGGGGGGGGGGTCAGATGTTGCGACGTCACATTTTTGCATTATAAAAAAGCAATGTTAGAAAACGAATTTTAGACGTTATTTCGCGATTTAGATAACTGTTTTAATAAATTGTAATAGTTTAGACAAGATTTTGGAAAAATATCAATGTTTTTAAAAAATTCAACTGCAATTTTGAGGGGGGTTGTAGGTTAAGGTGTGACGTCATTTTAGGGGGGGGGGGGTCTGGCTTATTGTGACGAAGTGTGACGGAGGGGGAGGGGGGGGAGGTAAAAATCGTCAAAAAAAGCGTGACGTCATTTATGGATGACCCCTAATGCCATACAAATTATATTTATATATTTATATATAATACCTGAATCAAGAAATAATCAGTTACATTTACATACATTTATAAAAATACTTAATTAACACTATATACTTACATAGATTTAGCAGTGATTACTAAATATGTTTCATCAGTTCACATTAGATCCTCTAATGATACCAAAAAAAAAATATAAGATTAGTATTACCATATTAAATATTACCATAGTAAAACAAAAATAAGTGTCTTTTGTTTTTGGTGTGTTTACACAGACTTATAATGGACAGTAAAGCATTGATAAATCCAGGTATTGTAATTTTTAAATATATATATATATATATATATATATATATATATATATATATATATATATATATAATATATATATATATATATATATATATATATATATATATATATATATATATATATATATACATATACTTTTGCTTAAAACAAACTAGCAAACTAACAGAATAAAAGAGTAAGTTGATAAGAATATCTTATTGTTTTTTTCTGATTCATTATCTGAACTTAAACACATTTAAGAACAATCTACTGAATTTTTTTCTTAAATTATGTATACAGAGGCTGGGTCAAGTGGAATTGAGTGTTTTATTATTTTGCCAGATGGGACAACTAGGAGAGCAAACATTTT